CTGCAGTTTTAGAGATGCTCTGACCCAGTCGTCTAGCCATCACAATTTGGCCCTTGTCAACGCTCACACTGCCCAATTTTTGTGCTTCTAACACATCAACTGTGAGGACAAAATGTTCAAATGCTGCCTAAAATATTCCACCCACTGACAGGTGCCATGATAACCAGATAATCAGTATTATTCACGTCACCAGTCAGTGGTCATAATGTTATGGCTGATTGGTGCATATGAGAGCTGCCATTTGGTTTTCACATGCCCCGAAGAAGAGTTGAAATATGTAGGCGTTAAGCCCATTTAGTGAATCTTTGCAAGGCCTGTGCCTTGGTATTTTTTGGTTATGACTTATTGATCACAAAGCAAAATACAAGTAACCTCTCTTCTTTTTTTGGTCTCATGATATTTCATTGGATCAAAGAGCGCCTGTTTTTTTTATTTTTTTTTATACCTGCCTTTGTGTAGCAGCACTTCTACCCAATCTACTGGCATTTGCTCCCTCTGTGGCTGATAATTATGCTCTGCTCGCTAACCATTAAATAAACAACTGAGGATTAGTTCAGTAGACAGTAGTTGGGTTTGGCTCAAGCTCACTGTTTACTGTAATGATTGCTGAAAAGCAGAAAGTTGAATGAATCAATGACTGATGAAGAAAAAGGTCACGCTGCTCCTCTTGCTGTTCTTCTGTGAGTCCATCCTTGACTGTATCCCACACTGTAATAAAAAAATGATGAAAAACATTGAGTTTCTCTATAGAACTTTGTTGTATCTACACGGTTTCAGACTCGCATCTGCTTTAAGGTTGACAGATAATCTTTTCAGTCTCATAATCCATCAGAGTGCATTTCGTTGTGCTCTCTGCGGGGACTCAGCTTCTTTAGCCATTTCAGACAATAATTTCATAACTAGCAGCTGGTTTTCACACCATTCATCATCCCAACAAAGCAAAGCTGTGACTGAATTATTGATGCTAACAGTCAAAAGATTTCCAGCAGTCACAGGTGTTTTAGGAGATCTCAGACAGCATCAAAATAATTTGACTAAAAGGAACCTGCAATGGGAAATGTTGCCTATACAATGGCAGTATTTGCATGACACATGGCTCAGTAAAGTGTCTCAGCAGAAATCATCCCTCTAACACTTCAGCTGCAGCAGAATAGCCCTGGAGAACAGCAAACACGAGTGATAAGCCCTAAAAGATTTCATATCCATCTGGTTTTATTGCTGAGCGCCATCTGAAAATGTTTCGAAAGCGACCCAAATGTCACAAAGCACCCTTGATGTACCTGTATGGCAAAGTGCCCCCTCAAAGTATATTGCAGTCATATTCTGTCCTCTCCAGTTCGGAAAATTAGCTCTGATAATAAGTCAACGCAGGCTGGAGGCAAGGTCAAACCTCTCTGACCATTACAGATTATAATAATGTGCAAAACACTGCTAATTCTGTTTGTGAGTGTTCATGCTTGGAATCAATAATGGCACACTGAGCCAAAAAACGCTAACATTCATACAATGTTCGCTGTGCATAGAAAAATATATTAAAATAACAACAATAAGCAGGGAACTGATTTCACTGTTCTCTGGTGTGCTGACAACACAGTATCACACTCAACCGTTAAGTGGTGCCTGCTGAGGTGGCAGAAATGAAAATATATCGGCTTTGTCTTTTAAATGTCTCTGACAAACACATTTATAATTTCTGATCCACAACAATGAAAAATAATTAGTAATTAGCTCTTGAAGATGAACAGAATCATTTAATGTGTTTCCCCTCTCCCGTTCCCCAGTGTCAGTACAACCTCAGCTCTTTATGTCAGTCCGTTCGCTTTGAGCCCACCCATCTCTGTTTGTCCTCGGTTGAAAAGAAGAAATGTGCACCAAGCTCGAGCCTGTGAAATCCTGCACGTATTCAGACGCCCACGCAGAATCCAGCCTGAGAGAAAATAGGGGCAGCTGATTCAACGTGAGCTAATTCATTCAGTCACTGTATGTCCCCTGTCAAAGGCTGGTCCCCACAGGCCAGCGCAACATCTGGATGTGTCCCCTCTGCTGTGTCTGCATGGCTTTCATGTTGTTCTCAAGGGACTCAGACAGTTTTTTTGGTCTGTCAAGTCCGTCCTGCTTATTTTGCATTCAGAATTGACACTTTACACCATTATTATGCAGGATACAGTTGGTCTGTAGCAACAGAATTTAAACTAGTAATCATATTTTATTTGGCTCTGTGGAAAAATAAACAAAAAGAAAGAAAATATACTTATAAAGTGGTTCTAAACACATTTAAAATTCTAAAAAGAAGACTTTTTGACTCTTTCTTCTCCTGTGGCTGGCACGCTACTGCGATAACACATCAACCAGTGAGGTGAAAAAAAAGCCTTTTGCTGCCTTTAGACCCTTTATTTTGACATTAAAGCAGAAGAGGAAATCGAGTTACAATAGATTAAACACACGATGCCCTTGGCGTCCTGCATCATTTTGGTGGAGACCGTATGTAATTAATTTATTTCCATATTCCAACATGAAAATAGAAAGTGTGAGTAATCCTCAGGGAGGTTTAAACCAAGTGCAAAGGGAGGGTGGTAATCTTATAATCCTCTGTAATGTCGTAATGGTCTCTCCAAGCTTATCTAAACTAAACTAACTTTCCCAGTAGAATTCAGTCATAGATACAGATGGACCACAAAAAGTAATGTGACTAATGCTCCCTGTGCAATTCAACAATCTCTGCAGCTTCATTAAAAAAATATCTACAATCATAATTAAATAAAGTCATATGTTGTCACATCAAAGTAGTGATCTATAAACATCTCTTAATGTACAGATCTTTGTACACTAAAAAAAAAGTACACACATGAAACTACACAAAATAGCAGATAATCTCAGTCCTTGGTCGACACAATGATCCTAAATTCTTTATATTTTAATCTGCCAAAAAAATGCAGATTTTCTGCCAAAATAAATACACAGTATAGCAATTTGTAAGAAACTCCTGCATCCACGGTGCTGTAAAATGCTATTGGCTGACCAAAGCCGCAGCTGAAGCGGGAGGTGACTGGATTGGCTGAAGAAACTCGGAGGTGAAGACAGCCTCGGCGTATTCCTCCACAACGTCCTGAAACTCTGCAGCCACGTCAGCCAGAGCCTCCGACAGCAACTCCTCTGCCAGGCTGTGGCACAAGAAACAATAGAGACGTTACAAAATAAATTATTTATTTATTATTTCTCCTTAAAACCAAGAATGCTCCTAAGAGAGAGTTTGTCCCTTCTGAAAATAATACAGGTATATGCAAACTTTTTTGATAGAAAAGATAAAAAGCATGTCTTAGATGACAACAAATGAAATAAAATGATCATATATGACAATGAACGCGACCACTATTACCAGTTCATAAAACTAGAAAGAATATAGACAGTTTGTTATAATATACCATATTATTTTGTATTTTTTTTGCCAATACATTTGTGACTAGACCTTTAGAAAAAAATATGTATATCACTTAAAAAAGTGGCATTCACACTTTTTAATATTTCTAAATTATCAGCCTTGTACCTTCAAAAATACAGGTGGCGTGTTTAAAGCAGGTTTTTCCTAACCAGTGTGTCTACTGATTTTCAGAGCTGGACATGGAAAACTCTGCTAAATCTGTTCTTTGCTATGAAAGGCATAAAATGAAGAAACATAACTGAAAATACTGGTGAGCTGGGTGCAGCGCCAAGCTATATTTTGTGTTTTTGATCATTATCTGGGTCAACACAAGTGGCGAACACTCTTGGAGCTCCCTCATAGAGCACCGAAATGCTCTAGGTTGTCGGTGCAACAAACAATCAGTAATTGCGTGTCGGTGAACTAGCTGTACCTTTGAACAGTCAATACAAGAACACTTTGCTCTCAACACGAGATACAGGGCGAAACACAGTCAAAAATCTACATCACGGATAGGAAACAGCCTTTAGGAAATATTAATAACACAAATATGCTACAACCCATGCTAGCACGACTGACTGACTCTTCATATTCTATATGTTTAATGCTCCAAATATTAAATCCAACCACCAACCAGGCTGTGTTCTGGCTGGGCTGAAGTTTTGCTATTTTGCAATCAATCTGTTAGCGGTAAGAATGAATGAGATCCTCCGGGGGGTTTAACTCCAAAGCAGCACTAGTCCTCTCATTACCATTTCATCACACAGACAGGTTTCTGCACTGTGGCAGAATAGCAGGGGGTGTACAGGCCTGTATATGTGCTCTCTCTCCAAAAACACTGAGATAATTGGATGGCATCTTCACACAATATCCCTATTTTCCTCCAAATTCAGAAAAGTACAGATCCATCTCTTGAAAACTTCGGTTCATTTATGTGAGAATGATAATGATCCAGCGACACAAGCAGTCAGATCCCACGGGTGGGACTGGGCAACAGTTTCTCTGCTCTGAATTTAAGCAAAAACAATTTACTGAGCAAAAAAAAAAAACGGACTTAAAATGTGTCTTTTGGATGCTTCCAACTCGTATATCAATCACACAGATTCAGTATGTTCACAAAGATGAGAGCGAGTCTTCTGCACTGCAGCAACTTAAGAATTCTGTTAACTATGCAAATTTATGAGTGGGCGAGAAGAACAACGGTGAACACCAGAGACACACTATGCAAACCATAACCTCTGCATTATCCTCTCAGAGTGAGCTCTTCAGACAGCACATTATGTCCGTCAAAACAGAGAGCAGGAAGGACAAATCTCGCTTCTGTGTGACTAAAACTCAGCATGTGATACTGCTAATGAGTAAAAATATTTTTATATAACCTCAAAGACTTACAGATTCTGCCAAGCAGAGGGAAATAAAGATGTTAGAAAACCTTTCTGTGATGCCTTCACTGTTAGTCTTTTACCTGTCTGCGATGGCCCAGGGGTTGAAGCTGCCGACAGCCTCGTGAGCCACAGCGCGCAGGTAGGTCTCGTAATCTTCCCGGTACCGACGGATGTTTCTCAGCATGCTGCCTGGCACGGAGATAGCGGTCCCCCTGCTTTGCTCTACTGGGCCTGGGAACACGGTGGTGGGTCTCAGCTGCTGTTCATCTTGGGATGCTTCCTCCATCAGGCTGTTCTCAGAGAGGATGCTGGGTCTGAGGAAACACAAGAGGATGCTCATGTGGCAAGGCAAACATGTAGGTTTCCATGACACCTTTTCATTAGCTAGACCGTTCACGCTGTATGAACAGTGTAAAGGGCTTCTGAGGGCTGCGGCTGCGGAGAAGAGGCAAACTCGTTTTATTGACGAGGGAGCCACAATGGAGTGCAGCGCTGCGTGATTGACCAGAAGCACTTGTTGTGCCTGATACGAGGCAGAGGATGATGAATTTGGGAGAGGTGTCAGAGAGCAGGCCAGCTCTCTCGCCTGCCCCTTGCTCAGCGAGAGTAGGGGCTCAGCTGGGCATTGCCATAGTCTGGCTATATAATCCTCTCTGCTTGGACAAATCAGCCTGGCTCCTGCGACGGCGCTCTCGGTGCTATATTTAGTGTTGCAGCAGTTCCCAAAGCAAAGTGCCTCTCTATTGTGCTCCCCGGCCTCAGCTGAACTTGTTTCTGTTTTGACTGTGGGGTCTGCAAACCGTGGGGTGGCCATAAATAACAAAGTGCCAGCACAGTTAACTCTGCTTCAAATCTGAAATGGGTCGATTTGCTGTCTGATGGGCTTCTGAAGACCAGTGTGGCGAAAGCAATAAAACAGCAACCTGCAATCCATTTCCTATTTATAAGTCAGAATGAATGAATGAGTCTGATGTGAATGATACAGAATGACACAAATGTAACAACTATGCTAGTTGTACTAAATGTTCTACATCTATGAAGCTCAATGGGAGAGCTGAAGGACAAGGAGCAGCCCTATATGATTCATGTATGAATGCCTCATATTGCCTCTTTTATAGATGCTTCATGTATAAAAGACTGCACAGCTTACAGACAGAAAGATGGCGTACTCACAAAACCTGAAAAGTACATCTGCAAAGAAATATCAAGGTGGGTGTCAGAAGACTGCTACAGGTGTGGGCTCAGGAAAGCCAGAACTGACTCCACATGAAGGAAGGGACGCTGCCATTAGAAGCCCTCATATCTCTGGCTTCCTGCCCACATGTTAGGGCAACTTTTAAGGACAGCAGGAGAGTGGTCAGTGTGGTAAGAGACAGGTGGAGGATGAATAGTGTGGAGGAAATGAACAGATTGCTGCAATGAAGACGGTGGGAGCTACCACAACTGCAAGCCTACCAAGCTGCCATTTACTGTGCAACACAGCTTCCGGCTTGTTTGAAATACCGTAATAGCCGTAAACAAAGGGGCGGGCGGAGGGGAGCGAGAGAGCAGATAAAAACAGTACATGAAAGGGTTAGAATATTGCTGAGTGGGGCTTTCATCTTTTTTCATTGATTTGTTTGACCTGCTGATGGAGCTGCGGTGGGTCAGTCAGCATTAGCCAAGATGGGGGACAATCGGGGTCTGTGTCTGGGCTCCTCACCATGGATACATAAATCTTATCTCCCGCTCCACTGCTGTTTTCAAAGATGAAATCGCTCACTCCATTGTCTCAGTGGCTGTTTGACAGCAGTTGCGCAGGCACACTGACGGGCCATGGTAAAGAATAATCGATGCTGTTTTGGAAATGGACAATGATGTGTAACGTAAACAACTACGTTCCCACAAATAGTGAGCTGGAAGTCTCTTCTGATAGGCTGGCGTAGGTCATGACTCAAAAGTAAACAAAACAAGCCTCAGCAGAGGCTGAGAGAACTGCCTGAGCACCTGTAAACAATAAAATGAGATCTGCTTTATTTCATTTATTTCTAAATCATCTGAGAGTATTTTTTAAAATTGGATTCTTCCATCAGTCCTCTCCTTCCTTGGCTCTGTTCCTCTATATCAAACGCCTTAATAAAAAAAAATCAGGTTTGCCACAACCAATAACAGCCTGCCAGTGTCCCCATTAGTCATCAAACAATACAATCAAAGAAGTCTCTAGAGATTTCTTAAGCTATGTCACTGTCACAAATGTTCTTCCTTCATGTGTTCAAGTGTGTGTGTGTGTGTGTGTGTGTGTGTGGCAAATGATTGCATGCACAACTCTTTTTTTCCCGCTGACGACAGCGACTGATGTGTCTCTCTGGGCTGAGAAATGCGGGTTATAAACAACCAATTAGGGCTGAGACAACACACATGACATGATGAGAGCTTCACATATTCTGTCCCAAACCCCCCAAAATGAAACCTCTCCATGCTGCACAGGAGAAAGGGTTTAACACAATCCAACGCCAACACAACAACAGACTGCATTGTTAGGCTATTTCCTTCCATAGGAACTGATGCTTTTAATCAGCTGCTCAGCTGCAGTATGAGCAACACGAAAGCAGGATTTTATCAATGCATTCAATAATTCTCCATTCTGTTGCATCCTCGTTTACCTCTCTCCTTCAGATACTTTCTGCTGATTACTGCACAGAAGTATGTCTAATCTGCTGGCAAGTATACGAATACCTCACCTGAACTGAAGCCGACAGCAGTTTTTAAAACATATCAGGACTTGTTTGTTAAAATAATATTTTTCATTATCTGGAGAATTGCTTCCTTTGATGAGGTCAGTGTGTTGACTGGTTACTCTTTGGCATTATCATTAAATCTAGATTGTTTCTTGGACACTAGTGCAGCTCATTTCCTCAGGCTGCGAATGCAAATGCAAATGTCATTTGACAATTATCTGAAGGCTACTGTGGAACTCAGGTCCTATTACTTTCTGTTAAAGACCTACACATTCTGACATGTCCGAAATGAAGGCTACATGTTGACAGCTGAATTCAAGACACAGTGTGCAACAAGTGTGGGTTAGGCTGGGTTAACTGTCAAAGTGGCTCTTGGTTTACTGTATTATGTGTGTTTTTGTTTTAGTATTACAGATGCAACAGGCTGCAGGGTTCTGTGATCAAAACAGGGTAGATGAAGTGAAGAAAATGTGTTGTAAAATGGGTCATTGTAGCCTGCAACACTGCAGCACACGAAGCCGACTCATCTCCCTCACAGCTCAGGTCAGTTTATGAAGCAACTCCTTGGCCTCAAAAGACAGCTCTATAAAACAATGTGTCTAATAAGCACAATTTCTCTTTCTCACACCAAATGACTCCCTACGTCCAACTTTATTACTTCTTAGGGGACTAAGCACTGTGCAAAAAGGGCTGTTAACAGCCTACACCAAATTTCCGCTTGCATCTCGCTGTAGAGAATAAAAGAAAACCCCATTGAGCTTGAAACCACCATTATGTATCTGTCTGCTCGTAGTAGGGTTCACTAACTGCGCCAAGTGCTACATCTAATGGCAGCATCTTCATCGGACAGCTCTTTGGCTGGGAATATTTTATTTAAATATGATTTTGTTTCCAACAAAAGTACTTAATTGTCCAAGCGACCGGAAAGCTGCTGAACTGTTTGGGTCTCCATTCAGAGCAGGGAAGTGGTGACTAATGTGGAGAATGTATTAGAATCAATGGTAATTATTTTTTGAATGATAACGAGTACAATTACTGCACAGCAAGCAATCTTTGGAGCCACAAAATATTATGCAGGCGTTTTATATACATAATTGTCATCAATACAAACAAAGTGGTACTGCCATGTTGAGTGGGGCATCCCCCCTCTCCTTATCCTCTATCTAACTGATTCGTTATTGCACTGGAAATGTTAAAGAGCATCTAATGGAAAAGAAATTCTGTAATGCCAGCAAAGCTACACACTCTCCATGCTGTTGAATGTCTGTCACCATCAAAGATTACACTAATGGACTATATGTTGACCAACGTACCGACAGAAACCAAAAGGCCTTTGAAACATCCTGTTTTGTAACACTACACTCACACTTATATACACTTTTCATACGCTTTATTCGTAACGGCTTACTATTTATGTTACAATATAAATACTTGAGTTGTTTAGAGCTCGATGCACTTTTAGTTTTTCATAAATTGCTATGTTGTGTTCCACATTTGTGATTAAGTAAGGTCAGTTTGCAGACATTAGTTTTCTCTTTAACATCAAAGTTTTTTTCTATTGATTCCTGTCAAAAATAAAAATCTACTGTGATTCAATGTGTTGAAAAAAAACCAGCGGGGTGCCAGTACCTTTAAAGGCACTATAATTTGGACTGAAGATAAAAGCGATGCAGGCAGGTCCGTCTCGGTTTTTATTCCACAGCGATTCAGAGAGTTTCAGAACAAATGAGCTGGCAGTTATCAAATGACTGTCCATATTAAGAAGCTGCATTGCTGGATACCTCTGAAATCATGTAAAAACATAACACCTCTTCAGAAAGACTAGACACTAAATACTTCCAGGGGCCTGCAATATGTTTGCCAAAAAGTAGAGCTATTACTTGATGGATGCGTTAAGAAGAGTATAAGATGAGTCACAGATGAGTCAGGACAAAGTTTCTGTTAAGGGAACTGAACCTGAGGCACAAGTCTGACTGACTTTAATTTGCTAATGGTGCTGCTTGAATTTGTTAGAAGGAGCACTGTGCTGGCTTGTCTGTGTCAACAACTTCTCGTCCTTCCACTCCCTTCTCTCTTCCTTCCAAGTTCCTCATTAATTTAAACAGTACACAGCAGCTGTAGCCAAAGCCCTGGGCAGTGGAGGGGTCTCTCTGTGGAGTCTGCTGCCAGAGTCAGGAATAGACGCTGCCCTGGGTACGGTAGCCACCAAGTGAGTTTTGTGGGATGAGTAACGCCTCCCAGTGGGAGAGTGATTACGGGGCAAAGACACGTCATGCGGAAAAAACACCCTAACCGTACATTGTTGGAAAAAACACTAACCACTAGAGTTTTCATCCAGTCTAGAGGCCCAATTAAAACAATAGTGAATGACTTCCTGTGGATGAACCTGCCTCTTATTTCTGTAGCACAACCACAGGAGGTCTTTGACTTTCCTCATGTCATCAAAGTCATCAAAATCCAACATTTACAAGGGTATTTTTTTTTTTTTACTGAGGGTTGTATCATATCATATAATCATCAATATTGTACTAGAGCCATGATTACTTATAATGAGTTAGGCCTATAATTTCAGCTCAAATGATTGAAGGAAAGTTAAATAGGTCAAACCAGTGCAGCATCAGGGCCAAGTTAATATTCTGAGAACACTCTAAAATTTCCCTACTGCCTCTTTAAGATGAATAAAACAGCAAGGAGGGGGAGTGATTAGCAAAAAATGAGAAGTAGAATTTATTCGAGTGTAAAATAAGGGCAAAGGACATAGTAACTCACCCAGTCTCCACGGGTTTCTCTAGGACAATATCAGCTGCACAGCTCTGCCTTAGCACTGGCCTAGTGAGCCTAATTGGCTGAAGAGAGGCTGGCCTGGAGCCCAGAGTATGGCACTGGGGTCCTGGGAAGAACAGAGAGGAAGGAGAGGAGGGGGAGGATGGGGTAGTCGTAGTGTGCAAGGGATGGGGTTGGAGCAGACAGACAGTCAGACAGACAGATGAAAGAAAGGAGAGGAGCACAGAGTCAGAATGAAAAGTATTCAGCTACTATTTCAGTTGTAGCACTGTCTCCACCTACAGGACACATCTGGGAAATAATTTCTCTAAATGCAGTTACAGAAGGTAAAAAGGAGTTTTCACCTGCTGCTCCTGGTCGGTCCCAGTAAAGAGGGTCTGAATAGGTGATAGAAGCAAACCGTCTCCTCACTTCCTCCTGATCTTTCTGCTCAGACACACAGAGAAACACATTTTATAAACATGTTGTCCAGCTGCCAATAGCTGACCACCTCAAACCGGCTGAATGTCAGAATCAAGACTAGACATTGCATCAATAAGCAACACCAGCCCAAAGCCGTCACAACAGCTCACTTTTAATAACAACCCGATCACAGGTGACATTTCGGGTTCCACGCTGACCTTCTGTTGGTGGGCCTTTCTGTAGGGCAGCTCACCTGTATCTCCTCCATACGAAGCAGCATACTCTCCAGGGTGGGGGCCTGCAGCCTAGACTCAGCCATGCCCTCCAACTGTCTGTCTGTCTCAGCCGCCCACGCCGCCCGTGCAGTGTCCTCCAACAGATCCTCCAGCAGGGACTCACTCAGCTGCTCAGCACTCTCTGCTGCCTATAGAGGACAACATCCAGAGAAAATATAAGCAGAATATTGGGCTTAATTTTACAGCTGGTTAGTTCATGGCGTTTAATCATGGCCATGACACAGAGTTCAAACTTTATTAAATAGCAAGGCCAATTCTTTTCTCTCCTGTGAGTTATTTGCAACAGCAGTGCAGCTCACCCTCTCTGCAGCCTGCTCAGACAGCCGATTCCTCAAAGAAGAGATAATCCTGTTCCTGGACTCACCAATCTGCTAATGTAAACAGAAAAACAAAACAAAACAATGCAACGTAAACATCATTAACTTCCTCTTAGTCCATAAAAACAAAACTGACTCAAAAACAAAAAGTCACAATTTACTTCACCGTGCAAAGTCAGAAGGTAAATACATGCTCTACGTATTGTTTGAACAAATAATAAGCACAGATTGTTTCCATCTTCTACGTATAAAATGAAGGAAGGGGAAGTGAAATCTGGCACGCCTCAGACAACAGATAAGTCCTCCTACCTCGGCTTCATCCAGAAGAGGCTGAATTCTCTCTCTGGCCTTCTGCTCAGCTCTCTCAGCCCACTGAGTTGGCGAGACAACTTCAGACCTGTAAACCAAAACACACCCACACAGCAAGCTGTCATAAAAGAAGTTCTGTGGCTGTAAAGCTTTAACTTAAAGAGACTGAATGAGATATTTTATTCCCTGCCAACATTATCAATGTGTGTCAAACTTTAGGTCACTTTGGATTCTGAGCAATAAATGGTAAATTGTGGTAAATGAAATTACACAAAAACAGCAGTATTTGCCAAGCTTTGTGTTTGCCTAAATAGTCACATTTACTGTGATGGGACAAGGCCAAAACTGTCAGACTGCTGACGAACCTTCTGCACACTGAACTAATTTGTAAAGCCTGACACACTACTCACATCGAGCTGATTAATTAGGAGATTAATTTCATGAATGTAACACAGCATTATATACAAGATATAATCTGTAATTGTGAAGGGGTCTATTGTGCAATACCTGTCACTTCTTAATGGGGTGAGTAACCAAATCCTGGCTGAAAACACAATAAACCATTAAAATGTCCTGATAGGTCACTATGCTAAATATTAAAAGAGCCCTGGAACTTGCAAAACAAAATGGGATGTAGCCATTGTTAATTAACGTTATTAATTCCACCTTTTTCTCTTTTTCTGCTATGACATGCCAAACTTCCTTTCTCGGTTGTATCGCTTTGCGTGAGAAACCGAAGGACAAACCTGCACTCTGTGTTTCGCTGCTGGCCTGGCAGAGTTAATCTGTCCAATGACTAATTAGGAAATGTGAGGTGATCTATAGAAACATATGCTCTCCCTGGTGCTGAGGGGGCTGCAGTCACAATCTGCATTATTTTCTGCTCTATTGTTAGTAGGTAATCGCGTCCATTTTGTAATTCCCACTGTAATATGTTTAATTGTGAGGCCTGGTGCATTGAGCTGTATGGCAGATTACTGTGTAGAACCACTGCTTTGGGCAGTGACATTACTAGAGGGAAATATGACATAGGACACAGCTAAGCTTATATTATTATTATTACAAATAATTATATATATTAATTATAATTTTTCAAATCCAGTATTGTTTACTAACTTCCGGTCTTCTTCCTGTCTACCTTTGTTGGTGCATTGCAGCATATTGGTATGATGCCGCCACCTGTTGACCGGTGCAATACCACAACACCACTAGTAAGTGTATGACCCACCCATAGAAAAGCGTCTCCGTGTTGCTACTAGAGGTCAAAACTCCACAAGGACCCTTTAAGCTAAATTCATTTGTCTTACTAGGGAGGGATTTGGGGAACTGATTGATTTCACTGTCAACTGTTTTAATTGTCCGCATTTTTTCTGTGTAGTTTGGTATTTCTTGTGCGACAGAGCACTCTCCATAGCGATCCCCTCCCTCTGGAACTCTCTCCCCACACACATCTGAGACTATATCGATCTGTCTACGTTTAAATCACTAATCAATCCATCTTTTCAGAACTGCTTTTAATGTCTGATTAATTACGCTTTTTAACCTATGCATTTTAACTTATGTGAAGCGTCTTTGAGTACAATGAAAAACGCTCTACAAATACATTGCAAATGTATTATTATTATTATTATTATTATTGCAAATATCCAACAACTGATCTTGACCTTCAACTTGCATTGTCACAGATGCTTTAAGTCTGCTTGTAATTATATTTCTATTGTACCTTAATGTCTGAATGCGTTCAACCTCTTCTTTGCTCAACTGGTTGAGCTCTTTCATTCTCTGCATTGTCATCTTATCCAGCCAGGCATTCCTGTACCGAGCCAGTAATCATCAAATGAATCAAAATAAAAGCACAATTAAGCATTTCACATATATAATGTATAATCCCCATCTCCTAAATCAGACTACAAGCCCCTGATTAATGGCAAAGCACAATTGTAGTAATTAAGATTTGATTAAACAAAGACGTATGTAGAGCACTCAATCAATAAGGTGCTTATAAGCACTGAAAACAGCCAAGCTATTAATCACTCAAAAGACAAACGGCCTCAATCTAGCAGGCACCTAGATTAATTTATTGCAAAGAATTAACTTTGAATTAAGATTCAAAATATTGCCTGTGGCTCTCAGCAAGTGGGGTCTGCCACAGAGGTGAGAAATAACTCACTGAATACAGAGGAAGGAGTCATTAACATTTCCTAGATTTAATCTATTCAGCTTTTTTTTTCTCTTTTTTTGCTGGAACAGACAATCTGATGTATGTATAAAGGACAAATAACAAAAACCCAAAACTGCATCTGATATCTGACAGACGAGAGTAAAATCTGGGTAAAAGTTTCAGCAGGTGGGCTTCACCTTAATGCTTCATTCTGAGCTTGTTTCTTCTTTTCTGAGTTCAAAGCCGGCTGCTCTGCTCCCAAACCCCCAGCCACCTTCTGCTTTGAAGGGCTGGGTGAGCGCCTCAGTGGTGAGAAGAGGCATCGTGGCTCTGGTCTTCTCCTTTGAGGGGATCTGTTGCGATAATAGCAGAGGTATAAAAGAATAATAAACAGAGGCTTAGACACTTTATTGGGAAAAGACGTAGGGAGAACGGAGGAGGAGGAATATTGAGATAAAGAATGACAGAAACTAATGAAATATAAAAAGAACCATTCATTTTTTAAAGATATGACAGTGACCATTCCTGAGTGGAACAGACATGCTGGTATTTTTATTTTTATTTTTACTTTGCTGTTTCTTATCCTATTAACTTGTCTGTGACATGAAAGAACGATTTAATATACCATGGTGGATTATGATGAGTGTTTTTTGATAATATTATTAATATTGTGGAGATTCCAATTTGGCAAAGACTATAATCATAGTGAATGCAAGCTATTATTTTAGCAGCAAATTCTACAATTGTTCTACTCATGTTCTCCTGACTGAAAAATAAATAACTCTCCTGGCACTGCTTACATAGATTGTCCTTATTTTCCTTCTGTTTTTAAATGTTATTGTGTCAGGAAGAGCACATTATTCCACTGCAATAATGATCAGATTCATACTGGATGTCAACTGGATGTTACCTTGAAATAATAGTTTCAGACATTGCAACAGCATAACCTTTGTTATGCAATGGTGTTAATCATCCAGTGTGCGGCGAGAGCAGAAACACTGGTGAACAATAAGAGGTTATGATTTTAAAAAATCTAATGTGTCATCAGCTGTGCAGTGAGATAAAAGGCTCACCGCTGTGGAGGAGGAGAGTGAGGAGATGTAGGTATCCAGGGCACAGAGTGCTCTTTTTGAGGCATCTGGTTCACTCTGAGCTGAGAGGAGACTGTCGGCTGCCGGAAACCTGCGTCTTGTATCTGATTACGCTACAACAGAAATGAGAAAATATATGTTTAGATTGTTTAAATGATCCTCGCATTGTTTATATTTTTAAAGTGACCTACCTTTGGCACACTAAATCACACTGCTATTACTAATATATGAAGCATGTCAATTCAATGCAGTATAGAGCTGCAATGATTAGTGGATTCATCAAGTATTTGCAAATTATTTTGATAATAGATTCATAGCTTTGTGTCATTTTTAAGAAAAAATGTCCATGTTCTGTGATTACAGCTTCACAAATGGGAATTTTGCTCAGTCCTCTATGACAGTAAACGTAACTGAATATGTTTGGGTTGCGGACAAAATGAAACATTTGGGAAATCTTGGGAAACAGCGATCGTCATTTTTCACCATTTTCTGAAATTTCATGGACCAATCGAATAATCGAGAAAATGATTGACAGATTAATCGATTATGACAATAGTTGATAGTTGCAGCCTTAATTCAGTATTGTGTAGAAGTCAAGCCAGCACCTTCATTATAATGTCAGCCCTGCTTCTCTCAGACCGCAGAGCCCCTCCTCCTCTTCTGCTGGTGGTGTTTGTCTGAGCTCGTCCCTGCAGCTCTCTCAGCTCCCTCTGTTGGGCAAGGCTCTCCAGGCCAGCCCTGAGCACCTCTCTTCTGTTTAAGGGCTGGTGAGAAGTAGTTTGGGGCTTCTGTGAGGCCATTCTCCTACCTGTTGACACAAAAACAATTTAAAATGAAAAAGGATTACATCAGAACGGCTACAGCAACAACAAACTAGACTCTTCTTCATCCCTGCTAAACTCAAATAAATCAGTTTGGAACCATTATGCACCAACACAACACCGCCAATTACACAATTAGCTCTCATTTAAGTTTGTTTCCAAGGAGATCTAGATGCAGATGAAGCTCACTGTAGGTGTTTGTGTAAGCTCATCCACAGGATGCCTCTTAAGGCAATAGGAACCAGCAGGAGATAACTGCTTATAAGACTAAACAGCAGGGGACCCAGTGCCAGAGTTCTGCACTTCACTTCCTGTTTTTCTATCACTTCTTTATGGTTCCTTATCAATTTTCAGCCTGGTGCAGCAATTTAAGCACAGTTGGAGGCCCAAACACAACTGCACAAAAGCCCTTAGGTGACTCCAGATACACGGGAGACTAAACGGTTTGGCCTTCATCAAAAGGCATACATACAATTTACACTCTGTGCAGCAGCTTTGGCAGCAAGTGGGCCATTGCCTTAAGTTGGAAATGATGAAGGAACATACTGCATTTATGTTAGATTCAGAGTTTTGAAATGGTATAAATAAATACTGTTGCTGAGGGCAGAACATTAGAAACAGAGGAGGAAGATATTTATAAGGCTTCACATGCACAAACGTACTCAAAAGAAGTAAAGTCTTTTTAGAAACACTCACCACGGACACCTCTTTTGGGATTTGCTGGCCTGCGAGGTCCTCGAACAGATGAGGTGCTGGGACCCTTGGGTACGCTAGTGGGTGACATGCTGCGATGAGGAGGCTTCCTGTGAGGAGGACATGCTTGGGCCTGCATCTTTTCGAGCATCTCTTGTTTACTGAGGGCAGAATCCAAAGTCTAACAGGAAGAGAGTGACAAGAAATGTGCATCTTGGTTTATTCAGGGAAAAAAACAGGAACAATCCCTCCATAAAATAAGATGTAGACAAATAACCTAAAATATCAATTAGTCAAATGAAACCCTGTATTTTTTCAAATTACTCTACAATCAAAACATACAACATAACAAAGACTATCAAGAGAGATCAAATGAAACAAAAAACTACAAGTTAAGTGCTCACTCAACTTTAATTTCAGGGTGTTTACATCAACATGACATTAATACTGTCGGAACAGTAGACCTTTATATACATATTCTCACAATTTTAAGGGACATAAAGTAATGAAAACGTAAGTCTTTGACCAACAAACAACAGCAGACCCTTATTTTTAATCCTCCCTTGTGATGCTCTGCCAGACCTGTATTTTTTGAGGTAAAGGTGACGGATATCGCCTGTAAAACTACTTAGGTTGTCCGTCTGTATGTGTAGGATTATTGTCTTGCTATATTGTCCTAAATTGTTAAATTCAGAGACAAAACAATGAAAAAAGAAAATCACATTATTGTCCAAATACTGGTTGTACTTTACGCTCCTCACCTCGAGTTTCTGCAGGATGTCGAGGGCCGTCTCAGGCACAGCTGAACCCTGTTCTACTTCGACCTTCGCTGAGCACAAAGAGAGCTGGCGAATCAGCTGGCCCAGCTCTTTGTGATAAGGGGGTACCTTGACATTAGATAGATCTGACAGCTGGTGGATAACAACCTGTAAAGCCCGGAGTGCCCCGCGGTGGGCCGCCGCAAGCCTGTTTATTGCCATGGACTGAAAGAAGAACAGTAAACGAGTTTATCAACAGATATTTAGATGATTTCTGCTCAGGAGTAGAGCTGGTAAAACTTTACAAACCCCCCTTATAACAAACCTCCCCCTTTAGCAGAAGAATTATTAAATGTACTGCCACATACAACATTTATTTCTGTGACAATGCTGAAGACATACCTTTTTTGTGTCCCACATTTTTTGGCTTCGTAGTTTCTCTACATCTTCTTGTATCTCTTTTACCTTTTAAAATGACAATTTAGTAGAACAGAGTTTATAGCTAGAGGGAAAATCGTAACGGTGAATGTTTATTTTCAGTTACATGTGGTAGAGATTTAAATACCTGTCGTTGGAGAGCGTAGATTATACGTGCTGAGCGGGCTGCCTGCTTCTGTCTGCGTATCTCCAACTTGTTTTGCTCTTCGGGCTCCAGTGGCTCCTCGACTTTCTCTCCTATTGTTTAAATCCCATTACTCGGTATTATTAACCATCATACATGCAAAGTAGTGCTGATCGTGGTGGGGTGTCGAAACTGTGGTAACGTTTCCAAGCCAAGCTGTAACTTTAAACGTACATTCAACAGTAAGACACAGACACAATGCAACAAGAGTTACCTCTCTTAACTAGTTCTTCTACTTTCTGAATATACACTTCCAGCTCATTTTGCAGCTTGTGGATCTCTTGGCTTAAAGGAGCCCGTTTGCCTCCTTCCACCTGCTTTGGGCCAGGGTCTCTGGTCGGGGGGGATCGGCTACTCCGGGGCATGAAAGAAATGGGATGCTTCCTGGATGTGTGCACCGACAGTTTGGCCCCTTTACCTTTTGGACTGGAGGCTTTTAACTTGGTCTTATTCGGAGTGGCTGCGAGCTCCTACAGGGACAGAAAAAGACTCCTTTCAGTCATCGATTGAAACAAAGCAGGCAACTATTAATGTGCACCATCAATCTACATCTACCTGGAGCAGCTCTACGTCACTTATTTCGAGGAGGGAGGCGTCCTGAGAGGGTCTGGCGGGGGATTTTGTCAGCGACTCGAGGCGCCTTCGTCTCAGATCTCGCTTGGCCAGCTGAACCGCAGCCTGCAGTCTCTCCTCAGAGAGAGTGGTGAAGCTGACGGAGCTCCTGCCGCTGTCCCCATCCTCACGCCCCTCGTACAGCGGCAGCAGCCTCTCGATCACAATGGGGGCTGGCGGGCGCACACGCGTGGCTCGGTTGCTGGCATGTGCAGGGATGGCTTCGTTGAACAACAGCTGCGTGTGTGTGTGTGTGTGTATAAGTTACCAGTCAGTGTTGCATGTAATGTACACAGCCACTGTGAGACGGTTCACGCCACTTTCTCAACAGGTGTTTCTGTGATTCACTTCTTTTAAACTCAGTTGGTAGTAAAAAGATTACTGCAATTTAAAGCAACTACTGCAAAAAAAAACACACTTAGAGGTGTTTATAATATATTAACCTCATTAATAGGTGCACAACATGATAGAAAACTCTTAGTACAATGTAATACACACACACAACTCTCTCACACTCTCACACTCACACACACTCTCTCACACTCTCTCACACTCTCACACACCACTCTCTCACACTCTCTCACACTCTCACACACACACACACACACTCTCTCACACTCTCTCACTCTCTCACACACACACACACACAACTCTCTCACACACACACACACACACTCTCTCACACTCTCTCACACTCTCACACACACACACACACACTCTCTCACACTCTCTCACTCTCTCAACACACACACACACTCTCTCTCACACTCTCTCACACTCTCACACACACACACACACTCTCTCACACTCTCTCACACTCTCACACACACACACACACTCCTCTCACACTCTCACACACACAACACACACTCTCTCACACTCTCTCACTCTCTCACACACAACACCACACAACACTCTCACACACACACACACACACTCTCTCACACTCTCTCACACTCTCACACACACACACACACACTCTCTCACACTCTCTCACTCTCTCACACACACAACACCACTCTCTCTCACACTCTCTCACACTCTCACACTCACACACAACACACAACACACACTCTCACACAACACACTCTCACACACACACACACACAACACTCTCACACTCTCCTCCACACACACACACACACACACTCTCTCACACACACACTCTCACACACACACTCTCACTCACACCACACACACACACTCTCACACACACACTCTCACAACACACACTCCTCTCAAGTACAATATAATGTTAGTTAATTCAACTTCTCTCTAAAACAGTTTCAACAAAAACATTTTTACTGGCAGAGCTGAACTGGATTTGAGGTAAACTATAAACTGGCGACTAGAGACAGACAGACAGACAGACAGACAGACAGATAGACAGACAGACAGACAGACAGACAGAAGATAGATAGATAGATAGATAGACAGATAGATAGACAGACAGATAGACAGACAGATAGATAGATGCAGTTTAACATTAGGGGGTTTAAGCTGTTGTTTACCTTGGTTTGGGCCATCTCGTTGTGAAGGTTTCGGGTTGAACCTAAAACAACCCAGTCTCTTCTCCGTGTCTGCTGTCCTGCGGAAAGTGCGGGCCCACTCTGCACGAACTGCGCAGTCATTGCAGCGAACACAAGCTCGGTCAAACTAACTTAACAACTAACTAATAACTGACTAATAACTGACTAATAATTTGCTCAATAGTGAGAGTCAGCATTAGCCACCTAGCTGCGCTTTTGAATTGAAGTGTGCTAACATCAAGTCAATCCCAAAATCATCCATTCGACCATTTTTTTAACTTTTTTTTTTAAGTTTGTATCTGAATTATACTGGTGTATACTGGTGTTTAATTTAACTTTAATTAGCTCATTGTTAACATTTTAAATATCGATCCCAGCTCGTCCACAGTTTGAACCGCCGCCATGACAACAACACAACGCCGCTAAACGGAAGTAGCGTTGACCAAATACGGATCGTCGAAGAAGTCAAACATCAACGAAACCGCATATTTAATGACATGTTGTGACATAAAAAAAATAAACCCATCTTCTTTAATATTTTCTGAATGCGTGAAAAGGCGTGTGATAATGTTAGTTAAATATTTTAACTTCGGCTTGACGAGGGAGAATTTAACTAGTTAACACACGTATTCGGGTACACTGTCACTTTAAGACGCTTTGAACAGACCGGAAGTGGTACTGTCAGATTTAGAGTATTTCTACCAGGTCCGGCGTTCAGAGCAGCAGTATTTCTGCAAACACTTGTTAGTGCCTCACTGTTCAGTTAGTTTAGTAGTTTACGTTGGTGCATTGTGACATTAACTCGGCCTGAACGATGGTGCATTACGAAGAAGTAAACGTGCGTGGCTATGATGAATTCTGTCAGGCTGTGTCTGAAAGAAAAGGGAAGGATATTTATGCTTATTTCTCTGGTGATAAAGACGCCCAAGGAAAGAGCTGGTGTCCAGACTGTGTGAAAGGTAACTTCATATGTTCTCTCCCTGGAGTTTCCCTGTTCTAATGTAGTCACTAGATGCGTGTGCTTTCATTTTGAGCACGATTTGATTGAAATATCTGGTCGTGTAGTCTCATATAGCAAACTTTGCATTGTTCTGGCAGTGAGATGGTGGTATTCTGTTTTGCTGTGATTTAGTGCACTGTCATTCAGTCATTTTTAAACAGGTCCTCTTTTTCCCTTTCAGCCGAGCCAGTTGTTAGAGGGGAAATGGCTCATCTTCCCGATGGCTCTGTCTTCATCTACTGTCAAGTTGGAGAAAGGGCCTAGTCAGTATTTTACTCTGCTGTATTTCAATTATTTATGGAAAAACTGTTCCTTGAGTCAAAGTTAACCTACAAACAAAAACTCAAATTGCTTTGATCTAACTGCATTCAAAAGACAAAACATATCTCTATTTGTGAAGCAAATAACTTGATAAATGACAAAAAAAATATTTTGTATACCTTTTCTCTTGTTCAGCTAATAGATTTATCAACTAATAGTTTCACAATTATGTTATGAAGGCGAATCTTATTTACATTAAATCAACTGACAGTGAGTACAGTCATAAAAGAGAATTTCTAGACAGCCAGAAAGTACTGTGCCACCAGGATTATTATGGTAAATGTACATAATCTTATATCTGCAACCTAAAGGAAACATACATACATCATACGTCGACTCTCTGTGCAAGACAAAAATGGATGTTTGTATTTTAAATGGTGTAACTGTGTAATATACATTTCAGCACCGAGTGTTCCTCATTCATAGACTTACTTCATTCATCTATAAATCATTTAGTCCAATAAAAATGTCAATGATTTTCTGTATCAGCTCTCTTTTTCTGCTCTTCCAGTCTGCTCCTATAAATGTTTGTCCTCTCTTTCAATAATGTCTTTTTCATGCTTCAGTTGGAAGGATCAAACTAACGCCTTCAAGAAGACACTGAAGTTGAGTGGAGTTCCCACTCTGCTGCGATATGGCACAGTAAGAATAACTTCTTTGTGTTGACATGGATTAGTCTACAGTAAGATCTGTGTTACTATTCATATTTTAAAGAAAAATACATAGAAATGAGATAATAAGAGGGCGAATTTCAGGTAATATTCAGTTGCTTATATATTTAAGTTAATATTTAGAGTTAGAGTTGTCTAGGGAGTAAATGTACCTGTACTACAACCCCTGTAAATCTGTTTCAGCCTCAGAAGTTGGTGGAGGAGGAATGCTTCAAAGCCGAACTGGTGAGGATGATGTTCACCGAGGACTGAAGGATCCTGCGCTGTTTAACATTGGTGGAGATTTCTTCACTCTTAAACAGTCAATTTTACCACCATTCATTTTCAGCACTGTTGATAATCGTGCTCAAGGCACATCTCCTTCTGTAATTTGATGCAAATCAGCAACTGTGTAAGTGTACGACCGAATAATGAGCATCCTTTGTAATATTCAGTGAAATCCATACTGGAATATCTCTAAAGACAAACACATAGACTGCATGTCATTCATGCTAATATTTCTTGTTCTGCTTTATGTGCAATCACCCACTTCTTTTTTTTTTTGGGAAGTTTGATACATTTCTTCAAATGTAACATTATTATTCTAACACACTAGTTGATTATAAAAAAAATATCTTGAGATTTCTTTTTATTATTGTGACCATTTTGTGTGTGACGTTGCCTTGCAGTTGGAGTCAAATAAAGTGACACCTGATGTTGAACATTTGTGGCAGAAGAAAACTTTTTTTAAGTGTTGTATGATGACCCAGGTGAAGGCTACAAGCTAACAACAAAGTTCATAGACAGATAGATTTTTGCTTTGACCAGGAACAGTAATTATATATCAACACTAGAAAAGAGAAATATATATCAAATGAAATCAAACACTTCAATACCAGAAATCAGTATCAGAAAACCCATGGCACACTCAATAAGTATATTAAGATAAAATCTATAGAATATCAATAGAATACACAATCTAAAGAATATATTATGATACACTTCAATATAAAATAGAATATATAAACAGGATAAGATGATTTGACATTGATCAAGTGTGCAAAGAAGTTGTAGTTTTAAAAAGACGGAGTATAAAAATGTGCAAAGTTGCTGAAGGAGCAGAACAGAGGCGTCGGTAACATTAGTAACAAGTCTAACTTTAAAGCAGTGTTGTGGTTTAATTTTTCCAGTCTCAATGCACCTCAGTCGATGTCTATCTGAATTAAACTTTTAGCTATCTGACTGTAGTGAGAGACTCCCACTGAAGGTACCCAGAATGGTGACACAGACTCACAGAAAGCAAAGAGAATTGACAGTTTCACTCCACGTGCAGGATTTATTTGCATCACACTGGATACAAGCAAACCGAGTTGTCCAACGATACAACTGACCTGAACAAAGAAAATCACTATTATTTGAGTTCTCTAGACAGAGCGGAGGTGTTGCAGAGAGTTATTGCTTTCGGTAGGAAAGGAAGGCTGTATTTGTCTTTTTGAAGTAGAAGCACAGCATTTTGTTTCTGTTTCTCTTGTGTTTGTGTTGTTTTACATAATTTAGGACTATTTTCCCCCTCGATGCACCTTGGAAGTAGGTGAAGTTGTGCCATAAATCCCTCCAGTTACTTCAAAAATTGCTGCAGACCAGGTAGTTTCTGCTTGTGAAAACTAGGTGGCAGCACACCCATAGGAATGCAGTGTGGCCTTATCTATTTGAAATTTGCAGCATTTAATTTATAGTTATCTGATGAAGCTTATTAAATGAAATCCCAAGCAAGCATTTAGCAGAATAAAACAGTTTTTTTTTAAAGTCAGACCTAGAATCCTACTGCTTTTAATCTTCAAAAGTAGCTCCAGCATATAAAACAATGTTAAACTCAGATGTATGGATGTATTCTGAACAAAAATATAAAAAAAAAAAAAAAGAAAAA